GTAAGAACGTATACAAAGTGTTGAGCTTTTGAAAATGTTTCATGTTTGGAAGATGTTTAGGAAGTGTTTTTGAAAGTGTTGGTGTTTGTTTTGAAAATAAGCAAGAGTGTTTGATTTGGAATTGAGCAAGCAACTAGGAAAAATCTACCTACTCAAAAGTCTTAGTCCATTTCTTCCTTTCCTTTGATATTGTTATCTTACCATTGATTTGGTAATAAACCCTATCTTTGGATGTAAAGGGACGGGCGTGGGTCATCGTATAGCCATGATAGCAATGTTGGGAGATACCTTAGCAATTCTCTTTGAGGGACTAAAATCATTTTGAAAGGCAAAATTTGATAGCGTCGTCGAGGGACTATGATCTTGTATTTTTGATTGCTTTTTGCAAAGATATCCCACATGCATAACATTGCCCTTTTTATAAGGAAACAAAGTGGATTTACCCTAAGGGTGTAAGTGTGCAAGTGTGTTGATTTACATGCATTATTTTGTCTTGAATTAGGGTTTGCTAACTTGTTGATTTTATCTTTCCATACAAACCCTAATTTACTAGCAATTATATATAAAGCAATAAATTAGGGAAAATAAAAATACTAAGCTATTACATCATTATGGGAGGGGGTGTACAAATTTACAAATGGGGGTTGTGCAAGAAAATTAAACCTAATTATCTATTACAACCATATTGAATATTATACAAAATTTAAAATAAAATGTATGAATATAAAATGGAAAAAGAAATGATTTTTGTTTGGATTTTTATGAAAGGTTCTAATCTTGACCTAATTAAGAAAATTATTAATTAAAAATTAAACAAAACTAAAACTTAAATTAATTAATAAAGAAAATAAGTTAAAAAATGATTTTTAGGTTTTTTATGAAATGGTTTTAAATTAAAAAAATATGAAAATTAATTAATTAAAATAAACCTAAGTTCTAAATTAATTTTAATTAAGAAAATAAAATAATTAATAAATAATCCTAAGTCTAAATATTAATTAATAAAAAGAAATTAATTTGTTAAAAGAAAATGTTTTTGGTCTTTTTTATATTTATAGAGAAAATAAAATAAGTAAGTATAAATAATAAATAAAATAGTTTTTATATTTTTATTAATAAATAATAATAATGATAATAATAATAATAAAAATAAAAATAAATGAAGAAAATATGAAATGGAAATAAAAAATAGAAAATAAATAAAATGCAAAATAAAATAATGGGCCAGGGATGTGAACATAGTCAAGGGTTAGTAAAAGAAAAAAAAGGATAGCCAGGCCCAAGTTGGAGGCCCAACGCTGCAAACAAAAATCTGAGAAAGGTGAAAAATATGAAAAACAAGCAAAAGGGTACCACTGGGGCTCGAACCCAGGTCCCCAAGGTAACAGGCCCGCGCTTTAACCACTGGGGTGGTGATACATCCGTTAACTTGTACACAATAATAAGTATATAACATAAATCCTGCCCTGAATATTTGAAATCATCTTCTTCCTCCTTCATGCGCGCGCAGACACCACGCCCACCATTGTTAACCCTGTAACTCTCTCATTTCTTGACCATTTTGAAAAGTACATACATGAAACTTGCTGGAATTTCATCATCAATTTAACCATATAATTTAATTAAGCTAAAAATCAAAAGTTAAACTTAATTTTGTTTGATACCAAATGCGTGCCCTAACTGGTCAGAAGCAAAATTATCTAAGCACAAGCAAGTAAAATGCAAACTAGGGACATGGTCAGCTTGAGGGAAAACTTCAAAGTGTATGCACAAAGGATGCTTGTATCAAGATATTGAAGTTTGAAAACATACCTCTTGCAGATGGTTTTGAATATGGACTTTGAGCAAGTTTTGAAGAGTGAAGATGATTAGGTTAGCTTGCCTGGGCCTCCCTGAACGTGTTGCAAGTCTTACTTTTCCTTGAGAATGGCTCAAAATCCCTACTCAAGTTAGTCTGCAAGCTTGAGTTTCACAAATGGTGGATGATGGAAATGTGGTTACAGACTTGAAACAGGGACTAGGATAGTTTCTATATGTGTATTAGAAACTTTGTGGATGGTTTGTCCAAGAAACACACGAGGGAATTTGGAGGTTGGATTCAAAAATCAGAAATTACAAGTTTTTGTGCTTGTATGGCAATTTCTGGTTTTTGGGGAGTTTTAGGGAGTTTGAGAGCTTGTCAAATCGTCCGATGAGTTGTATAAGAGTGTCTTGATATAAAAGAAAAGGTTTGGAGACTTGAGATGGTCAGAATTACAAAAGCAAAAGTTATGGGATTTTTGGTTGTTTTTGAAGCAATCTTGAAACATCTTGTTCCAATGTGAAGTACAAAGCTTGTAGGGTGTTTGTAACCTTTAAACATGCTTGTTTTGATTGTGTATGGGATGTTTGTGCATAAAGAACAAGTTCAATTCTCAAGACAAGTTAACTTTGCAAAAGTGATGCTTTATCAAAATGGAAATGACAACTTTGTGCCATAAATGGAAATGCAACTTGGATAATGGGTCAAGTGCTTGGATAAAAGCTCTAACAGCTGTGTAAACATTCAATTATGGAGTGAAAAATAAGTTTTGGGCCTGTAAAACAAAGATTATACAGCCTAGCTATGAATTGGTCAAGTGTTCATCACAAATTCTGCCTTGTAAATCAAGAATGAAACTCTAACTTCATCTCTTCGATTCTCTTAGCTCAAGCATGATCTCAATGAGTTCTTGGAAATTTTGGAAAGATTGTAACATCCTCTAAAACCTCTATGTTGAACATTTTTGAAGATTCCTCTTGGAATTATGTGAAAAATTTCCATGAAGTTAGGTCAAAATCCTGCCTAAACTAGGACAAAATTTCACTAAGTTTCCATGTTTCATGAACATGTATTCACAAAATCATAACTTGAAATCCATGCATTTCTAGGAGAAGTTGTGTTCTACAATATTTTATATCTCATTGAGATCTACAATTTTCATGTTTAAAGTTTCTTTTGAATCATCTTGCATCATTGTGAAAAATTGGCTCAAAGTTGTGAAAAAATATGAAGTTTCCAACACTTAGAAATTTTTTTAAATTTAGAAATTTTGTCTTTTCAAAATGAAATCTTGACTTTTTGATTTCTTGATGAATAAGTTTCATGTTTTGAAATGTTTTCATGAATTGTGATCTTAGACACTTGATTTTGACCAAAAAGTCAAAGTTTAACTTTTCAGTATGCAGTTGATTTTTGATCACTTGACTGAAAATTGATTTGTCAACCAATTGGACTTTAGGAATGTTTTGAGCCATGTCATTAGGTAAAAATGATGTATTTGAATCCTTGAGATCATAAATTAAACCAATCAATCATTTGCTAGGTCAAAAATAAAAAAAATGCCCTTTCTCAGTCAAAACCCTAATTTTGACCATTTTGACCTTTTGATGATTTTATCCAATTTCTTGAGGAATTATGATACAAACTTGACCAAATTACATATATGAGTTCATAATGTTAATATGGATAAAAAATTATGAAGTTTGACTTTAAATTGACCATAGTTGATTTTTTCCCAAATTCAGTAAAATGTGATTCAAGACTTAAAACTTAACATGAGCAATATTGAGGGTCCATAATGATCCATGAAAATCATATGGGACATTAAAAGTTCAATTATCCTTGTGAGCTGATCAACCCTAGTGCAGTCTTGAACCAAAGGAGATCTTGTGAGAGGTTACTTATAAATGAGAGGGAAAATTTTGGGGTACATCACATGTCTATAATGTTGCATCAAATGTCTCATTGAAACAAAATTATATTAATACAGTTCACCCAATTCACTTACACTCATCATCACTCAATATTCATAAAATTACATCAAAGTACATTAATCATCACCATTACAATATAGAAAAAATGCGTAAAAATCTACACTAAGTGTTCCAGATGACTTCCTCTATATTAATTAGTCTTCATGCTTCCAGATCCCAATCTTCTACCAATCTCCATTTCCAAACTGCAAGACTTTTGTGCTCTTGTTACAGCCCTGTTTCAGAACCGGTTTACCACCACTGGTCTACATCGATTCAAGAAGAAGAAATCAGCCCTGCACGTGCGTCATAAATAAATTCCAAATACAAAAACATGTCCAAATCTTTGTCTTCTCGTACATGATAGAAAATGAAGTCATGCTGAATACCGGTCTTGTTCGAATAGATAAAATCAAGAAAAAAACAGTTCAGAAGATCTAATTAAAAACAATTAGTGGCTTAGCATATTAAAAAGGAATTAGATCATAAATAAGGAATATAGAGTGAGTTTTCAATAACAGAGTTTTGTTTTGCATCAGTTGAGGAAAAAGCCAATTCTCACTTTAGCCCTGCAATTGAAAGTCAGAAAATTAAAAAAGCTATTCCAATACAAAACAGAGGGAAAAACTCAGAAATTCTAATGATACAACTCAGCATATTTCAAACTTCTCTAACAAGCTTCATAACAGAACTTGAGATGATAAATGATATTCAATCTCAATCATTCATTGGTTATAACATATTTTTGAAATCAAGGGACAAGATTGAGTTACCTGTAGCAAACTTCTCAGAGAAGCTAAGCCAATAGTTATAAATATGAGCTTCTGTTTCAATCTTGAGGAGAGGATTCATTTTTCAAAAACCTGAGAAAAAGCTACACAAACTCTCTGAAACTTCTCCAAACTTCTCTTTGAAATTTCTCTCCGATTTTCGAATATCATCACTGATTCTTCATCTCTCTGCATCTTCTTAAAGCTACTGCATAATCTTCATCATTTTCACAAAAAATCACCACAAAATCGGGAGGCTCTCTCTTCTGCTCATGGTTCTGTCTTCATCATTCAGGACTGATTGCTGTAGAAACTTCTCAGAGAAGCTTCAGAATTCTCTCCGAAATTCTCTGAGGTTTAAACACGATTTATTCTACAATTCCTCTCCAAAAGCTTGATCTCATAAATTCATCTATGCAACAACTCCAATAATCTTCAATCTTCAACCTTCAAGATCTAGCATTCATCATCTTTGCTCCCAACCTTCATCAACCTTCTCCAACTCAACAACTGCAACAACTTACGCAGAATGTATCGCAACAGAATAGATTCAGAAACGCAAAGAAATTCAGAACGAGTAATAGAAAAAGTTGAAGGAGAATTAAAATAAAATGCACTCACCTCTGGTTTTCTCGTCTTATTAGATTGAAGGTGCACCGGACGACTCTCCGGTTGGTAAGACTTGCATCTTATTTTGTTCATCGCTTTGCACGTTTAAGTTTGCTAGTGTTGAATCTGTTTTTATTGCGAATCTGAAACACAATCGCGAACATCACTGCGAGGAAGTAAGCGAAGGTCGTGAAACTGTGATTAAAGCGAGGTCCACAATTGGAGACGAAGATGTATCAGAAAAGTTAAATCGAATGCGGTGTTCGAGGAAGAAGAAGAAGAAGTGGCAGTAGAGATGTGAGACGAAGCACATCAAAGTGAGACAGTGAACTAGAGTGAGAACGATTTCCGAATGAAAACGAAGAGTTGATGGTGGATGGAGGTTGTTGTTCACGGTGTGGCTTTGGCGGTGTTATGTTGAACGAATCGGACGAGCATTTCTGTTGATTGTCGAAGGTGGATTGAGGATGTGATGAACAGAGCAAGGTGGCAGAGACAATGGAATCGGCAGAGGTGTAGGCAACTACGGCGCTGCAAATCTGAGGAAGGAAGGAATTTGATTCGACACAAATCCCTTAACCCTAGCCTTCTCCTCTTAAAACACCAACGTTGCTTTTTTTATTTATTTTTTATTTTCCTAATTTTTAATTGTTAATTGTTTTACTAAATAAATTTTGGATTAAATAATTACTGAGATTTGGAAATGGGGAATTGGGCTGAACTAATTGGGCCTCATTTTTTAACCTCCCTTAAGCCCATACCGCCATCAATTTTTGGAGCTTGTTACCAAAAAAAATTATGCTAGACCATTCAGCATGGGCCTAGCGTCCCATTTATTTACAACACACCTGAGCCAAGATTTATACCTCCCTCTATTTCTTATTCTTTTATGGTTTTAATTATATTTTCTTTTATTATTTTTATATATTAAGATAATAAAAAATAATAAAAATAATAAAAAGATATATAAAAATACTTTAGGCTTTTATAAGTATTTTAGGATTTAATTAGATTTTATTCCTATTATTTCTTCATACTTTTAATTTCTTTTAAATCAAATTTACACATAATGTTTTATGTGTTTTCTCTGTGTAATATTGATCAAATAAGATGCTTGAGAATTAAGGATTATCTTGCGTTGAAATGCCATGCTCCTTTAGGATTCCATGAGACGATAAATCTTCCTTTTGATCGTTTTATGTTGATTAGACCTTAGGAGGTTAATACAAGCGCAAACATCATAATAGCTTTTGACTTCTTGTTTCAGGATAGTTCCTTCATCTTCTTTAAAAAATATTCTCTCTCCTTTTGAAAGCACTTCTTGTTTCTAAACTTGGATCACTTTCATAATAAACTTGGACTTAGGTCCATGCATTTTCAAAAAAAAAATCATAAATAAACTTCAGCCAACTTAACAATACTTTGACCTTTTTTTGAGAAGACTAAAAATCAATCAATCTCATTCAAACCATTTCGCCATTTTGGATTTCATCTTAAACTTTTCTCAAAAGATTCGACTCTTGTCAATCCTTGTAGTGATGCAAACAACTATACTTCTACGATATGTAGTGATGTGAGATATTTTCCACTTGGGTGTTGAGTGAGGCATGTTGATTTTAAATCCAAGTCATATCCTCCACTTTGAGATGATGCAAATTCTCCTTTCTCATGATTGTGGGTAGTAAGTATGTTTTCCACACGGACAATGACGATGATGTCTTATCTCATAAAATTAACCAACACACTTGTGTTTTAAAATCTTTAAAAGAGGAACTACGTGTACCTTGACCCCCTATTGCACGAAAGGTGTTATGTAGGCACTAAAGGTTCGCAACCGCGGCAGGTGCAAAAATTATAAAAATATATTTCTTTTCTCACCTCCACCATCTATTTTTATATAACATTTCATAGCCAAAAATATACAGATTTTACAAAGAGGTTCCTGCGGAGTACCGTAGATGTTTAGGGTGCTAATACCTTCCCTTTGCATAACCAACCACCTTACCATGAATCTTTCCCCCTCTTTTTTAGGTTACTCGCTCTTTTCTTATTCCTTTGGAAACAATAAAGCGCGGTGGCGATTTTTATTTTTGATCTGTATAAGTCTAGTCAATCCAATGGCTTAGTCTTAAACATTTCTATCGCTACATTACTCTTTCGCATGTTCAACAACCAAGGAGGATGAAGGAAAACTATGGCACCAAAAATTTGGACATCTTCATTTCAAAATAATGAACAAAGTCATATCCGAAGGAGCCATTAGAGATATGTCAAAGCTCAAGATTAAAGAAGGAGAAGTTTGTAACTAGTGTAAAATAAAAAAACACATCACGATGTCACACCCAATGTTGCAACATCAGACTACTTCCAAAGTTTTGGAACTTCTTCACATGGATGTAATGGGACCATTACAGAGAGACAACCTAGGAGGAAAAATGTATGTATTTGTGGTTGTGGATGATTATTCTGGCTATACTTAGATGAATTTTTTAGAGAAAAATCATATACATTTGAAGTCTTCAAAGGTCTGTGTCAAAGCATTCAAGAAGAGAAGATGAGTATGATTGTCAAAATCAGAAATGATAATGACAAAGAGTTTATGGATGCAAAGCTTTATGAATTTTGTGATTCTAAATAAAAAATTCATGAGTTCTCTTATTCCTGGAAAACTCAGGGAGATGGAATTGTTGAGCAAAAGACTAGAGCATAACAAGAATCAGCTAGAGTAACGCTTAGTGCTAAGCAATTGCCATTTGATTTTTGGGCTGAAGCTATGAATATTTCTTGCTATATTTATAACAGGGTCACTTTGAGGGGAGGTATTGTCTCTACTCTTTATGAGTTATGGAAAGGAACGAAACCTAAAGTGAAATACTTTCATATTTTTGGAAGTAAATGCTAGATCTTTACTACTAAAGATTAAGTGGACAAGATGAGTTCCATAGGGAATGAAGGGATATTTTTGTGTTACTCTTCAAGAATAAGAGCATATAGGTTATATGACTCTAGAGCTGGTATGGCTATGGAATCTATCAATGTGAGAATTGATGATTTAATTACTAAAGAAAAGGAGGATGTCAGAGATAATGTTGGAACATCTTATGTGCAAACCGATGAAGCACTAGGAGAGGAGACTTGTGAATTCACAAACACTGAACCCGTGAAATCTCAATGCAACAAAAGTTTTTCTACTGAGGGGAAAATAGAACAAACCATGGATTTGACTTCAAGTCACCCTAATAAAGGTAACATCACTGAATTTAAACATAATATATCAAATACAGATAGATTTATTTCCTTGAGGGAAACAAGTGGAAGGTACTCTGAATTGATGTTGAAGAGGTATGATGTCAAGATATATGTCATGACATTTCACAATGAAGATCTGAATTCCTTCAGATATCTTATTCAACATGACTGACACATTGGTAGTTGCAAGCAACTGATCAAGAATCTTGTTGAAGGAAAGGATGACACTTTGAAGCTTATGGACAAAAAATAATGATTTTCTATTATCAAAGACAGTAGGTGTGATCGGTGGATCTGGAACTGACTGTTTAACGCTGGTTCGCGAAATGTCGCGGAAGCAAGAGTCGCCACCGTCTTTTATTTTCTCCAATATGGAAAGGACAAAAACACAGAAAAATTCCTTAAAGAGATTGCTCTCGGTTCGGGAGGTAGATTATAGAAAGGGAAGGTGTTAGCACCCTTTCTATCCATGGTTATCCATGGGCTCTTAGATACTTGCTCATTTGTGTTTTCAAAAATGTTTGTTTGCTTTTCAACTGTGGGTTTTAAAAAGTTTCTTTGAAAATTCCAGTTCGACTCTTGTATCGGTCCTCAAGAGTGTTTGAAAAATTGCTTTCGAAAGCTTTTTGAAAATGTGTTGGTGTGAAAAGTATTTTTTGAATTTGTTTTGAAATTTAGAGCAAGTATCTAGAGCCGTCTACCTACCCTAAGGAATTCGTCTGTGTAAATGTCCTTTAAAGTAGTGCCATCCCACCATTGAGAGGTAGGTAGCACCACCGTTGGAGATATTCGGGTCAATTCGAGGTTCGGGACATGGTGATCACCGGAGCAATAGGAAGACACCTTAGAAGCTAACCTCATGCCAGGTTCCCGGATCATGAGGACTTACTAAGACATCCTCTACTCGACGATCACCTTTCGAAGGGCAAGGCAACAGTGAGGCGTACCCTAGGGGTGGTGTGTGATTTGTGTGTCATGTTCATTTATTTTTGTCTTGTCCTGTTATGGGTGATCTACGCTTTTGTTTTTATTTAGACATTCATTCTTGCATGCATTTGTTAACAGTTAAAAAGTGCGAGAAAGGTAAAGTTCTAAACTATTACAAAAGGCGCGGGTCCACATCGCCAAAATTTCCAGAACCCGATTTGACAGAAAAATAAAGAACATAATAAAGTAAAGTGCGAAAGATTAAATTTACACGGCTTTGGGAGAGGTACATAAATAATTAAAAGAAAAAGAAATAAATACGCGAATTGAATTAAAATTAGAAACGAGGGCGTTGGACCCTTTTTAATTAAACTAAATTAAGCGATTAAATTAATTAAATTAAAATGAAAAAGAAATTGTTTTTTTGATGTTTTGGCGTTTATGATCTTTTAATAAGAGAATTAAATGAGATTGAAATTAAATTGAGAAATTAACCCTAATTCTAATTTTTTATTTATTAAGAAAAAATATTAAAGTTAAACCTAAATTAACCTAATTAATTACATGGTAATTTAATTACAAAAATAAATAACATTTAATTATTACTAATGGTGAAAAAAGAATAAAGGTAATTAAAATAATTAAACCTAATTTCTACAAATTTTTGAGTTAATTAAGAAAATGCTTAAATTAAACCTAATTTAATAGCTAAAATTAATGAGTAATATTTATTCACAAAAATATATTAATTAAATAAAAATACTTATTTTTGTCTTTTTCTGATTTTATATTGTTTTTATGTTTTTATGGAAAATAATTAAATTAATTAAAAACAATAATTGAAATAAATAAAAAGAATGAAAAAAAAAAGTAAAAGCTTGCAAACCTAGGGGGGTCTGTCCCCAAATTGGAGGGCT